TCTCATACAGATTTGTAGTCTTGGACACTCTAAGGAGCGGTTCTACTCTGTCTTGTGGGTCTCTATGAGTTAGAATCATCGGATGGCAGTGAGAGTGGCTTATGGCTACTTCCAAACTTCAGTGGCAGGATTCAGCAGCAGTGACAGCGACTGCATGGCCCACAGAGCCTACAATGTTTACTACTGTCTGGTCCTTTACAGGAAATGTTTGCCAGCTCCTGAGTTAGAAAACAGTTATATCCTAGGCCACTGGATGGGCGGAGCTTGAGGTACAACTGTGTGAGTAGGGAGTGTGATCTGAGAGAGAAGCATATGCTTACTTCAAAATGTTACCTGCAGTTGGCTGTGCCTGGCAGTCTGGTGCACACAAATCAATGTCAGTCCATCTGTGCATTTGTGTGCAAGCGTAGAATTTAGGAGACCCAGTTTCTAGACAAGGCTTTATTGTTCAGCTGTTGCTGATGTGTTCAAATTGCTGACATTTCTGTTAGCAGCTGAGTGCTTAATCACTGCTCCACTAGGGCTCTTTCTGTGTGGCCTACCCTCTCTCAATTTCAGCTTTTTCATCTGAAAATGGGGAGGGACTATCCACCTCCAGGGACTGTTGCAAAATTAAATGAGTAAAATGTATAAAGCATTCGGCCTCATTTAGCTACTTAAAACAGTTAGCTTTGCTATTGTTTTGTACTGAAGGGAGTTCATACTACAATCCTGTAACATAGTGTCATTTCCATCTTAGAGCTGGGAAAACAGAGGTTCGTGAGGTCATGTGACTTGTCCAAGGTCATATCACTCATAAAATGCTTAGGCCTCTCTCACACAAAACCCATACCTTTCCATTGCCCTTTTAAGCCATTGGATGTCAATTCCAACTCATTGCAACACTATAGAACTGAATAGAACTGTCTCATAGGGTTTCTAAGACTGTAAATCTTTACAGAGGTAGCCTGCCATATTTTCCTTCCACAGAGCAGGTGGTGGATTCAAACTTCTCACCTTTCAATTAGAAGTTAAGGGTTTAGACCACTGTGCCCCCAGGGCTCCCACAATATTATTATAGTTATTGTTAAGGGCTATTGAGTTGGCTTCAAATTATAACAACCCTGTATAGTGTTTTTGAGGAGCAGCTGGTGGGCTTGAACTGTCAATCTTGTGGTTAGCAGTCCAGTGCTTATCCTTCTGCCACAGCAGAACTCCTCCAACAACATTTGTTGTTGGTAAGTGCCATCAAGTCGGTTCTGACCCATAGCAACCCTGTATAGGGTTTCTGAGGAGCAGCTGGTTAGCTTAAACCATCTATCTTGTGATTAAACTGACCTTGGAGTCCAGCATACTAACCCACAGTGCCTAGGAATATGAAAAATGAAGAGCAAAAGTGTCCTCAGGCCTATGTCCCCTTACCCAGAGTGTCCTTAGATGTTTTCTTGTTATCGAAGCAGTGTTGCATAGGGTCCATTCCGACAAGAGTCCCAGAGGATGAGCTGGGCAGGGACTGAATGAGCTAAGGTGTGTTGGGAAAGCCCTTGAACTTGGGAAAGCACCATGCAGTTGCTTGCTAAGATCACAAAACTCCACTGTGGGGCTCAAGAGTGGTTACAGCCTCACTCAGTGTCAAAGACAACACAGAACCAAGAGTTCTCCGAGAACACCGTGCCCAGCCTCTGTCACATTCCTAATAAGAGTTCTCAGAGAGCACCGTGCCTAGCCTCTATCACATCCCTAAAAAGCAGTGCCCAGCCTCTGCTTGCATACTTGCAGTGACAGGGAGCTCCTTATCTCTTGAGGCTGCCCATTTCCCATGAGACATTCTACATGTTAAAGAGCTCATACCGACCCCGAATCTACCTCTTGGTAACTTCCTGATTCTGGAGTCATGGTTACAAGTAAGTAGAGGAATCTGGTTTGCTCAGCCTCTCTGTAAACATAGGTTTCCCGCTCCCAGCCTCACTGGGATGTGGGCAGGTCCTGTCTTTCCTGCTTTCCTGACCCTATGGGCAGAGAATGCTCTTGGGACCCGGCAGAGTGATGACCCAGTGAACATTTCGGGGACCCTGGTCCCACAGTGAGGAGTCCTAGTGACCTAATGTTTAAATTGCTCAGCTGTTAACTGCTTGGTTAAGAGTTCAAACCCACCATCCGCTGTGTGGGAGAAAGATGTGGCAGTATGCTTCCATAAAAAGTATTAAGTGCCATCAAGTCATCATCTACGACTTATAGCAAGCCTGTATAGAGTTTCCATGGAGCAGTTGGTGGGTTTGAACCACTGACCTTGTAGTTCATAGTCCAGTATGGCTCCTATAGTGCCACACTAGGAGTCCTAAAGATTACAGCCTTGGAAACACCATGGGGCAGTTCTCTCTGTCCTACAGGGACACTGTGAGTTGGAGTCGATTTGATGGGTTTGGTTTGTTTTGACCTTCCCTGCTGGCCAACTCTTCCAAGACTCAGTAGAGAATCATCCCCACACTGTTGTTGTTGTTGTTGTTAAGTACCGTGGAATCGGTTCTGACTCATAGTGACCCTGCACAGGGTTTCAAGGCTGTAAATCTTTACGGGAGCAGAAAGCCTCATCTTTCTCCCATGGAACGGCTGGTAGTTTTGAACTGCTGACCTTGAAGTTAGCAGCCCAAATCGTAACCACTATACTACCAGAGGTCCTTCTGATTCCACTAGACCCTGTGAAAATATGTTATCACTGACTACATAGTAAGAACACAGTAATTCCTTTGTAATAATGATTGTTGTTAAGTGCCTGGAGTCAGTTGTGACTCATAGTAACCCTGTATTGGGTTTCCAAGACTTTAAATCTTCGTGGGAGCAGAAAACCTCATCTTCTTCCTGCAGCATGGCTGGTAGGTTCCAACCGCGGGCCTTGTGGTTTACAGTCCAGCACTTATGTATGGAGTCACTGGGCTCCAAAAATAATGATGGTAGTAGAAATAACATTTCTCTGAGCCTATTTAACAGTCTTGGTGTGGCGCTGTGAGTTAATGCGCTGGATTGCAAAGTTGGTTTGAATAGCAAGGTTGGTGGTTCAATCTTACCAGCTACTCCTTGGAAATCCTATACAGGGTTGATATGGGTTGGAACCAATTTGACGGCACTTAACAACACAAACCACAAGGTCCATGGTTTGAGCTCACCAGCTGTGCCCTGGGAGAAAGATGAGGCTTTCTATTCTTGCAAAGATTTACAGCCTGGGAAATCTTATACAGGTCATTATGACTTGGCATTTAACAACATTTATTGAGTGCACACTGTTTTCCAAGGAGTCCTGGTGTGGCACTGTGGGCTAATGCATCAGTCTACAAAGTTGTTTGAACTGCAAGGTTGATGGTTCAAGCTCACCAGTTGCTCCTTGGAAACCCTATGGGTCGGAATCGACTTGATGGCACTTAACAACAACAATAACTATGTTCCAGGCAGCATGCTGAGTACTTTACACACATGAATTCATTTAATCCTCAACAAGCCCATGAGGTACTATTAGGACTATTACAAATGAGGAAATCAAAGACCAAGGACATATGAAGCCTTTTACTTCAGACCTCAGATTTGAAGAGCTGGGACCAGGCATCAAGCCTGTGTTCCGCAACACTGACACTGAATTCCCATCAAACAAAAACAAAATACCAATTCACTGCCATCAAGTAGATTCAGATTCATAGCGACCCTGGATAGGGTTTCTGAGGATACAAACCTTTATGGGAGAAGAAATCCTCTTTTTCCCATGCAGTGGATGGTGGGTTTGAACCTCTTGCCTTGAATTAGCAGTTCAGAGCGTTTTGTTTTGAAGTTTTTATTGTGAACTGAGTGATAGTTTACATAGGGGACCATCAGCTTTACATTCATCCTATCGTATTTGTTTCATTGCAATGATTATAATCCCCTCCATGCATCATCATTCAACAGCATTTGCTTCCATTTCCTCTGGGTTATTTTTTTAGATGTACACCGAAGCACTCAGGAACACATAACCATTCAAACAACCAAAGGGCATACCCTGCAAGCCTGCCCCCAAACTGTTAGCAGATAGCCCCTCTCCCTCCTTGAGTCTAGAGTCCCTAGCTGCTCCATCTCTCCATGTTATCATCTCTGCCTCCATCTCTGGTGTCACTGCTTCTCTGGATAGGGTCCCCACACTCCACTCTTCTCACTTGATGGTTCCAGGGTCCTCTGCTCCTGAACTGCAAGATCAACCACTCCCCTCCTTTTGTTACAAAATGTCTACCTTTACATTTCCAACCCTCACAGTCAGTACTGATAGCAATTATTCACTATTGTACCACAAGAGTCTTATCCCCATCTCCTTTCATCAGTCCCATCTAGACAGGTTGAAAACCACTCAGCGGAGATTCTACCTTCCCCCACACCCTCTGAAATTAAGCTCCCTCTTGAAAACTTGTAAGCCAGTCACTTCGTGCCTTGTGCCCTCCCCCATTTTGGGTAGCCAGTATTAAGTTGCCTATCCTTGTCAACCCTGTGTACTGAGGGGGTAGGATTCATTCCCTCTTAAGCTACTACATCCATAAGTATAGGTCAAGTTCATAAAATTGTAGCAGATTACTCTTTTTTTTTGTTCCTCTTCTTTCTTCCTTTAGTTGAGTTGTGATCATCCAGCCATTTAAGCTATGTCAAATGGGTACTATCTGCAAGTATGAGTGTTCTTGTGCATCTCCCCACACTTCTTATCAGCTGGACGCTTCACTTTCCACTCTAGACCCCTGTGGTCATGTCCATGTCCCTGGGTCCAGGAGTCCCCAGGTCTCACTATACTCCTGGCCACAGAGCTTATTTTACAGCGCCACACCAGGACCTTCCGTTAGGACATGATTCTGTTTTACTGAGTTTTAAATCCTTGAAGTCCTATCACAACATGACATGCAGCAGATACTCAGAAAATGTAGAAAAATAAAGGGGAGAGCTGAACAGGCAGAAGCCTGGGATTGTGGTGAGCGGGACAAGCAGCCAGCTCACTACAGTCACGCCCCCTCGCCCAGGATGGCTACATCGACTTCATGGAGTACGTGGCGGCGCTGAGCCTGGTCCTCAAGGGGAAAGTGGAACAGAAACTGCGCTGGTATTTCAAGCTCTACGATGCGGATGGCAACGGATGCATCGACCGTGATGAGCTGCTCACCATCATCCGGGTAACTCCAGGTGCAGTGGGTGGGGCCAAAGGCAGAGACCGCTGCTGGGGTGAGAGCCCTGGGGTTGTGTTTTCAGCTGGTGGATCTGCAGTCTCAGTAGTGGTAATGGACGGAACTGGGGGGACTCGGTGACGGACCACGTCCTTACTCTCTCTGGGCCTGTTTCCTCATTTGTACCAAGCAACTTAGAAGCTGAACACTTCAGTCCCAGCTTGAAGGCTCGGGGTACCTTGGCCTCTGCTACCCACTGCAGTTGGAAGCCACCCGAGCTATCACTGTCTCCACTCCCACCATTGAGACAAAACCTAGGGCAACAAGCCTTTCTCTTCTGCCTTTCTTCTTTCCTAGGCCATCCGAGCCATTAACCCTTACAGCGACTCTCCCATGAGTGCGGAGGAGTTCACAGATTTAGTGTTCTCCAAGATCGACGTCAATGGGGATGGTGAGGGGGCCTGGATTGCGGGTAACTAGAGGTGCGGTGTCACCAGAGGGGGGTCTCCAGGTTGTCAGAAGTGGGAGGTTACCAGGGAAGGAGGGGGGGAGGTGGGCCAGAGAGTCCTCTGCTTGTCATCTCCCTATCCGCCTCTGAGCTGGCTAGAGAGTTGGCTTTTAAGGACCCCTGGACCCGACTTAAAGGACCCTGGCAGGTCACCACCGAGTTAATAATCATTGAGCAGCTTATTGGAGGTCTGTGGTTCAAACCCATTAGCTGCACGGAGTGAGAAAGATGAGGCTAGCTGTTCCCCTAAAGATTTACAGTCCTGGAAACTCCAAGTAGTTCTAAACTGCCCTATGAGTTGGAATGAATGCCATAGCAGTGAGTTTGGGTTTTCGTTGGACCAGACTTTAGGGTCTGGCTCCCTCGGCCTGCTCTACTCGCAGGCCCCACCCCCATTATTATTACACACACACACACACACACACACACACACACACACTGCAGGAATCCAGCTTGTCACTAAGAACACTCCCCACCCCTCCCTGACTCTTTTTTTCTCGACCCCAGGGGAGCTCTCCCTGGAGGAGTTCATGGAGGGTGTCCAGAAGGACCAGATGCTCCTGGACACACTGACACGCAGCCTGGACCTTACCCGCATAGTACGCAGGCTCCAGAACGAAGAGCAGGACGACCAGGAGGCTAGTGAAAAGGTGGTGGAGGCAACTGGCTGAGTCAATGCCCAGTTGCTTTGTATTCCAAGCGGGGAAGGGGGGCAGTGTGCCTGATGTCATTGTTGTTTTAATACTATACAGACTCTAGACACTGCTGTTTAAATACTAGACAGAATCTATTGAGCTCAGAAACTGCTCAGAAGCTGGGGCAGTGTACATTCTGTGTAACGTGTGTATGCATGTGGGGGGGCTGTGTGATGTGAGGAGGAACTTACATAGGTGTAAACTGTGAGTTTAGAACTTTATGAACTTTGTGATATTACGATCATTTTATAGGGATCCAGTAAGAGAGAAAATCATCCCTCCAAGAAGCTTGTAGTCCCACCAAAGAGACAAGGATGAATGTTCGAATGACAGTACAAATCTGAGTCATGATTCAGTGGCTGGCTGGGATGTGTGAGTGCATGCATGCATTGAGCTCATCCTCCAGGAGGGGCTGCTCAAGTTTGAGGTTGGCCAGAAAGTGGGAGAAGGAAGGGCTGCTACTGTAAAAAGTCCCCCACATCTATCCAGAGGATGTGCTCATTTGTGCAGAAGTGACTGCACCAGCCCTTCCTTTTCCCCTTGATGCCTCTCAGTACCCCGTGGTACAGCATGGTGCCTGCTGTGGATCACATTGTGTCCCCCCCAAAAAAACCAGAGGGCTTCAAAAAGTTTGTGGAAAATTCCTTTTCCACAAAATTATCTTTTAATTCCATTTTCCGTGAATTTTTTGAAGCACTTTCAGATGGGCTATAAATCCTAACTCCTATACCTGTGGTTGAACTGACTCAATAGCATTTAACAACATACCTGTCGTTATAATGCCATTTGGGAATGAGTTTTCTTTGTTATGCTAAAGGGACATATTAGTATAGGGTGTATTTTAAGCCAGTCATTTAAGTACAGATTGAGCTGAGAAGCAAACAGAAGATAAATACCAGCCACTTGAAGATCATCAAGGAACCAAGAAACAAGGACCTTCCCCAGGCCACAGAGAGAGGACGTCTTACCCTGGAGCTGGCACCCTGAATTTAGATGTCTCGCCTCCTTAACTGTGAGAAAATAAATTTCTGTTATTAAAGCCTCCCACTTGTGTTCTCTCTGTGATAGCAGCCCGAGATAACAAGAGAGTTCCCCCACATATATGGGATTCATGGCTCGTATCAAGTGATCTGTCTGTCCCTGTTGTTGTTGTTAAGTGCCATTGAGCCAGTCCCGACCCATAGCAACCCTGAATAGGGTTTCAAATGAGCAGCTGGTAAACTTGAACCACCAACCCTGCAGTTCAAACGACTGACTTTGCAGTCTGACACATGAGCCCACGGCGCCACACCAGGACTCCTCTAACTTAAATCCCTCTTGCTTCAGTGACACATGAAACCAGTTGAGAAGTGGAGCCGACCTTTGAGGAGACAGGCCCATTCTCTGCACATCCCTTTAAGGACACCTTGCAGACACTCAGACCTTCCCATTCAAGATCTACTTGCCACAGGAACCTGGAGAGAGACATAGGGTCCATTTTCCAAAGATGCTCTTTCTTCTGGACTTTGGGTCTTTCTCAGCTGGATGTGGGGAAATCAGAGTCCAGAGTGGGAGGGAGAAAACAAGGGGAAGGTTGGTGAGAGCCCTCCTGGGGGGATGATAGGGCATGATTTGCTCACACTTGCCCTACCCATCATTCAGACCACCCTGGACTGGGGAGTCAGCCAGCACCGTTGGAGCACATGGAGTGAAAGCAAAGGTCAATGCTGGGGACAGAGGGGGAAAAAAGGAGCTGACATTTTTGCCTTCTCTTGCTGGCCGCCTCTTGGGAAAGCCAAAGGTCGGCATTGGGAGAATATCTATATATAATTAGGACATTTCTTCATTCATGTACTACCTCTAAGACTTGAGGGCCTATCTATGTAACCTGGGTTACTACTATTAGACATAACAAAACATTTGCCATTTCAACAATCTTCACATGCACAGTTAGTTGTTGTTGTTAAGTGTCACTGAGTTGGTTCCGACCCATCGTGACCCTGTATAAGGTTCCTGAGGAGCGGCTGGTGAACTTGAACCACTGATCTTGCAGTTCAAACACCAGGACTCCATGTACAGTTTAGTGACATTAATTAGGTTTATCATAGTAATTAACCTAAAATATATTTTTAAAGAAAATCATATGACTAGCATGCCTATGAAACTGCAGATTCAAGCAGTTTGTTTTATTTTGCAGATAACAACATAAACAGTATCACTTCAGGTTAACGTAAACAGTTTGCTAGGAACCACCTTAAATCAATCTCCCAGGGGTGACAGGGTTCTGGTTTTGAATTCTCCACTCCCCTTCAACTAGGCAACTCCCTTAAAAAAATTGTGATTTTTTATTGTGGTGAGTGGACAAGGGGCTTCGAGAAGTGAGTGGAAAATGAAAAGACCATGGAATTTTTCCACTCACTTTTTGAAACCCCCACCCCTGCCATTCCAGCAGTTTTTATAGATATAATTCAATGATCTTCATTATGTTGTGTGACCATCAGCACCAGATGATTTCACACAGGGTGATTTTGATCTAGTTTACATACTGGGGTTGTACCTAGGCAAGTGTATCATAAATCTGTATAATTCCACATCTAAAAAATAATACGAATCTGAAAATTGCTCATCTAGTCCAGCCTGCTCACTGTGAGGGAAGGAGACTGTGTTGGAGGCAGAGTCTGACCCAGAACCCAGGTTGGCAGGGTCCCAGTGCTCCCACCAGTCAGAGAGCTGGTTTCTTCCATTCTTTAAGGGGACACTTGGTGTGTGGCTGAGAGTCAGGGAAGGTCCATTCAAGGGTTAGGGAGACTGGATGTGGTGGGGGTAGGCTTGGGAGTTGACCACACGGTTGACAGTACCAGGGCCGAGCTGAAACAGCCACCTTAAGCACACCCTACCTCTCCAAGGGGCTAGAAGATCACAACTAACCTTACTTGCTGCAGTTTTTCTTTGTTGACACCCCTGGGGAGGAGGCTCTAGGAAGGAGGAAGCAAGTGCCCTCCCCATGAAAACCCCTCAGGGTCCTGTTGTTGTTGTTACATGCTGTTAAATTGGTTCCAACTCATAGTGACCCCGTACAGGATTTCCAAGTCTCAGTTTGAACCATAAGGTCGGTGGTTCAAAATCACCAGATGCTACTTGGAAACCTTATACAGGGTTGCTATGATTCGGAACCGACTTAATAGCACTTAACAGCAACAAATCTTTTTGGGAGCAGAAAGCCTCATCTTTCTCCTGCAGAGCAGCTGGTGGGCTTGAACCATGGACCTTGTGGCTCAAGTTCCAGTATTTATCCTATAGATTCACTGTGTTCCCTTAGGGTCTTGGGAGGGAGTGTGATTTTTATCCCCTCAACTCCTACCTCTTTTTCAGATTCAACTCCCCCACCTACTAACATGTATCAATCTTTCTTTTGCACCCTGTAAGTGTGGAGGTTCACATTGATAATTTGGTCTATAGGGGCACCTACCCCTCAGCTGACCTCTTGTTCTAGCTGGGAACCACCTAGAAATTTGTGGGGGCCCCACAACACTGCCAAGAGCTTGTTCTCCCAGGAGCAGCTGAAGGATGGTTCCTTCCACCACCCATTAAAGTCCTGTGATGTGGGCCCAGCAGTACCTCCCCTAGTCCACACTCCCCCCTCCCCTGCATCTCCCAACATACATACACACAGGGCAAAGTCTGAGCCAGGATAAGAGTGGGCATGATGGAGCGGAGCCAGGGACCCTCCACTACTTGCAAATCTGAATGAGCTTGGAGTCTTGGTGGGGCTGTGGTGGCCTCTGGGGCTCCCAGGTCCCACCCCCTCAGAACACTCACCTCTGAAGATATCCATCCCCTGGGATTGATGTCCATCTTCATCAGCCACTTGTCCCTGCAGACCCCTTCCAGGAACTTATTCAGCAACAGCTGGCCTGACCAAAGGGTAGGAGAGACATCATTCAGGGGGAGAGAAGGAAGGGAGGTGGGGCAGGAGGAGAAACCTCTTCCTAAGGTGTCCCTAGACCACTAGTCTGTAGTTTTAGGTGCTAAGAGGTAGACTAGTCAGTTCTCTGATTCTCCAGGAGTCTCCCAGAACTCAAAAGGGGTTCTCTCTGCCGATGAGCTGAGGCTTTACTTTTGTCTCATGATACTCTTGAAATACTGGGTGGAATTGTCAGATTCTTGAGTGCTCTTCTGGGATTTGTTCTAAGCCAGTTTTCTCCTTGCACAGCGTTGGGGCTGGACACTGAGCTACAGGGAGAAAAGCCCAAGTCCTTGGGTGGCACAAACAGTTAAGCACTTGACTACTAACTGAAAGACTGGAAGTTTGAACACACCCAGAGGTACCTCAGAAGAAAGACTTGGCAATATGCTTCAGAAAACCCTATGGCGCACACACAGTTCTGCTCTGAAGCACACAGGGTCACCATGAGTCAAAACCAACTCAATAGCTATTGGATAATGGGTATACCCCTGGTGGAACTTAAATGCACTATACTGTTTATATTTCTTAACCACTATCATTATCCCCACTTTACAGATGAGAAAACTGAGACCAGTCACAAGGTTAAATCAGGGCTGGGGAACGTCCGGCCCTTGGGCCATATGATGGTGGTGGTTATGTGCCGTGGAGTCGGGTCCAACTCATAGAGACCCTGTACAGGGTTTCCGAGGCTGTAAATCTTTATGGGAGCAGAAAGCCTCATCTTTCTCCCACGGAACAGCTGGTAGTTTCAAACTGCTGACCTTGCGGTTCGCAGTCCAATTCACAACCACTATACTACCAGAGCTCCTTTGGGCCATGTAAAGCCTGCGAAATCATTTGGTCTGGCCCTGCCAAGACAACCACAGTTCCAGCCATCACATTATAGGTGAGTTAATTTAATGTTTGCCCAGATACAGCAGGCTAATTTTTAAGTTGATAATATTGTATGGCCTGGGACTGATATAAATTTTGGCAGAACCAAGATCCCCCACCCCTGGGTTCAATGTTTCAGCCTAGCTTGCCTGATTCCAAAGTTCCCATTACATTCCCCTGACCTCCCTCAGCAACTCTTATAGGAGTTTCAATAGAAATGTCATGTATTCATGACATCACCTGCTATTTCATCCTCTCCTCTTCAGCCCCAGCTCCCAAATGAGGACACTAGTTGTTGGGAGGTGACAGGCCTGGCCCAAGGTCACACAGCCAGAAAGTGGGGGTGCTTCAGCTTCAGGGTGGGCAGCCCTCCCACCACCATGCCCACCCCTGTTACCATCTCTATTCTCATCCACCAGGAGGAAGATCCTGTCCACCTCCTCCTCAGGCGTGAGCAGCTGGTCTTGTTGCCCAGTCTCCATCTCCACCTGGCAGGCTTTCTTCAGCCTATAGATGGGCTGCCAGAGAAAACTCAGCTACAGTGATGCTGTTGTTGTTATTAAGTGCCATTGGGTAAGTTCCAACCCATAATGACCCTGTCTGTATAGAGTCTCCGAGGAGCACCTGGTGAGCTTGAACAACTAACCTTGTGGTTCAAGCTGACATTGCAGTCCAGCGTATTCACCCACAGCACCACACTAGCTACACTGATGTGAGGCCCTCAAAGCCCTATGACCCTCATTTTTCAGCAACGCCTCCCCAGTGCTGGTCCTCAGGCTGCTCATCTTCAGACCACATGACCCAGATACAAATCCAAACTGGTCTGTCCTAAGGCTGCTCTCTCAGAATCCCGTGGGACTCCTTCCACCAGAGAAGTTCCTGGCCTGACATGAGAGCATCCACTCCGAAACCCAAGGTCTCTAATGAGGGATGATTAAGTCACTGCAATTAAATATTTTAGAGCTGGAAAGACTCCAATGGTCTACACCCCATTTTATAGAGTCAAACAACAAAAGAGAATTCAGTATATTTGTGTGTGTGTGTGCATGTGTGTAAAACAGAATAATGGGAGATACAAGTGTTTGGACTGGAGAGGAAATACTAGGTTTCTCCTTTGCCCTGCTTCCTCTCCAAATGAAACAACATAAGTGATAGATAGCACCATGCTCATTGGAAGGAGAAAGACAAGTGTGAGGACTATCCCTGGTCCCTAGACTGGACACTTAACTAGAGGTGCCCGGGAGCCCCAGGAGTAGAATCCTGCTCCAGCACTTCCTAGGTCTCTGTGGATGTTTCCTTATTTATAAAATGGTGCTAACAGTCCCCACATATTGTGGGGGTTAGACAGGCTAACAGGTAAAATGTCAGAGTCTGGGATGATCAGGTGCTGTTCTTTGGTCATTTTTGCTAGTGGTCTACCAGTTTTATTAGTCTTTTTTTAAAAACAACTTAACATGGTTGGATTCATGAAATGGGGGGAAATAAGGTTAAGATGCTTGGCTGTCTTTTGAATCTTGGTTTCCCTGGCATACCATTATAAAATAGACACTTGAGGAGAGAGAAAGGAATTGCCAGAAATATCACCATAGAAAGCTTGTAAGTCCGTCTTCTGCCTATAACTGATTGGAACACCTAGAATGGGGCTACAACGTGCCCAGTGAAGGAGGCTTCCTGTGGAGCCTCTGCATTACATGAGACCATAAGTGGAATCCTGAAACACATCCAGAATCTTCTGAGGTGGGAAATTTCCACTTGAAAGGACAAGCAGACCGGCCTGGAGTGCCTAGAAGAACAGAAGATACTTCTTGAAAGAAAGGCCAACAGGAAAAATACAAAACAATATAGGCAGACAGATTGTTACTACAAGAACAAATCAACATGGTTGGATTCATGAAAAGGGGGGAAATAAGGTTAAGATGCTTGGCTGTCTTTTGAATCTTGGTTTCCCTGGCAAACAAGTTGCTTGCCCAGGAAACATCAAGGCAAGTGGTCAGGTCCCCTCAGTGCAAACTCCCTTCCAAGAATAAGACTCAGTGGGAATACACGCTCTGATTGGTGACCACGCTCATCACCGATAAGGGAAAGTGAGGGAAAAACAGCAATGAAGGGGTGAGCTAAGCCCTACAATGTGGAGAGTGAAGCGTTCAGCTGATAAAAAGAGAGGGCATATGCACAAGAACACCCACACTTGCAGATAATACCCACTTGACCTGGCTTCAATGACTGGATGATCAGAGCTCAACCAGAAGAAGAAAGAAGAGGAAAAAAAGAGTAATCTGACCCAATTTGATGAACGTGACCTACACCTATGGATGCAGTGGCTCAAAAGAGGAAACAAATCCTTACAGCAAGAATCATTCCCACTCCCTCCATACACAGAGTAGACAGGGATGGGCAACTGGGACATTGGCTACCCAAAATGGGGGGCTATAAAGGCAAGAAGTGACTGGCTTACAAGCTTTCAAGAGGGAACCTAGATCCAGAGGGCGTGGAGGAAGGTAGAATCTCCACTGAGAAGTATCCAGTCTGTCTGGGTGTGGATAGGTCTCTTGTAATACAATAGTGAATAATTGTTATCAGGACTGATTGTAAGGGTTGGAAATGTAAAGGTAGCTGTTTTGTAGCCAAAGGAGGGGAATGATTAACTTTGCAATCTAGGAGTGGAGGTCCCTGGGACCATCAAGTGAGAAGAATGGAGAGCAGGACCCTACCCAGAGAAGCAGTGATGTCAGAGACGATGATGTGGAGAGATGGAGTGGCTGGGGACTTTAAACCCAGAGAGGGAGAGGGGTTGTGTGCTGATGACTGGGGGTGGGGGGGTGAGGGGCAAGCTTGCAGGGTATACCCTTTGATTGGTTGATTAGTTGATGAAGTATGGAGGGGATTGTAACCATGGCAATGAAACGATATATGATAGGATGAATGTAAAGCTAATGTTCTCACATGTAAACTATCACATAATTCACAATATTAAAAAAACCAGAAACCAAACAACTTAAAAGAAAAGTTTTATTGACTTCTTTTTATCTCTTATGTGTATGTTTTCTATTAATTAATTTTTGTATTTTATTCTTTTCTTCCTTTTACTTTCTTTGGGTTTAATTTACTCTTCTTCTTCTTCTTTTTTTAATAGCCTCCTAGATCATTGATTTTCATTCTTTCTTATTTTTTAATGGATATATCTTATTACTTCTTATTATATAGTTTCTAAGGCTGTAAATCTTTGTGGAAGCAGAAAGCCTCATCTTTCTCCTGTGGAGCAGCTGGTGGGTTTGAACTGCCAACCTTGTGGTCAGCAGTCCAGTGCTTACTGACAGAGCCACCATGCTCCCTAATAGATACATTTTAAAGCTATAAATTTCCTTGAAATCCCAGCTTGAGCTGCCTGTAAAATTTTGGTATGCCATGTTTTCATTTAAAACAAAGTTCAGTCCAAATGCTTTTCTGGTGTACATGGTTACTTCTTTACATCTGGGGTATTTAGGAGTGTGCTGTCTAATTTCCAAACATATGGGGATTTTCTAGTTATCTTTATGTTGTTGATTTCTAGTTTAATTCCACTGTATTCAGAAAACACACTGAATGATTTCAATCCCTCCTCTTCTACCCCAGCCCCAGGGGGCGTGTCATTTCCAGGCAGGTCCCAGAGCCCAGCTGTGCACAAGTTCACAGAGACACTGACCTCCACGAAGTCCAGTAGCTCCGGGTGATTGATGCAGCCATTGTGGTCCTTGTCATAGATCCTGGACGTCCACTACAGCTTGTGCTCCACAGTGTCTCTCAGCACAAGGTTCAGGGCTGCCACATACTCCAGGAAGTCGATGGTATTGTCCTGCATGGGAGTGGGAGCTGCTACGACCACCCCCACTCCCCATCCATCCCTTAACAGCCTTTCCCTTCCTTGTAATCAGTGGCCTCTGCATCTTTGCGCTTGCTGCTACCCACCCTGGAATCCTTCCCCAGTCTCTGTGGTCACCTAAGCAAACCCTGTGGTGAAAACGGTTAAGGGCTTGACTGCTAACTGAAAGGTCGGAAGTTTGAACCCACCCAGCAGCTTTGTGGAAGAAAGTCCTGGTGATCTGCTTCCATAAAGATGACAGCCAAGAAAGCCCGTGGGCCAGTTGTACTCCGTTAAATGAGTTGTAATCAACTCAGCAGCAACAACTTGATTACGCAACCCTTCTCATCCTTCAAGGCTCAGCTAAAGAGTCTTCTCCCTTCTCTGACTGCACGCCACTGTGAGCGCTCTCTCCCCGTTCTAACACTCACTGTGCTTTCACTCTACTCTGCATACGTCAGTACTGACTCTGGTGTAGTCACATGACTGTTTCATATATATCTCATGATAAGTTCCCGGGGTATAGTGAGGGGCTCATGTTGCTTCTGTGTTTCCTCCATGCCTAGCTTGGTGCCACATCTGCCCAGAGTTGGGGGTCCCATAAATGTTTATTTATCACTGGCTGACCAGTCTGCATTTGGTACTAAGGTATTAGTGAAAGATGAAAAAGTAGCGTTCACATGGACAATTTCCTTGGCTTTCTCATTCAAGTTGGAGGTTTCCACACTGTGAACTGAAAAGAAGAGAGGCAGGCAGTGGCTCCAGTCCCCTCTCAGCCTCTAGGCCTCTCCATAGGACGGGCATTACACAGAAGGACAGACCTGCAGCCTCCCCTCATCCAGAAAGGAGAAGGGAGAGACAGAGCTTAGAGGTAATTAGGCAGAGGGAGGAGGAGGGCCAAGGTCCAATTCTAAGGTGTCAACTGAGTGTTACCTTCACATAACTGAACTTCCCACTAAAAGAAATGTGATAGCAACAATGATTCCAAAAACAGCAACTGAGAAGTGGAGGGGTGAACATTCTTGCTTTTCTATTCCAAATGTGTTTGCTATGGGAGATTGGAGCTGGGGGTGGTGGGTAATGTAGTGGTTAGTTGGGCTAGGGCTCGAAGCTGAACTTCTTCATACAGGGAGGGCACATGGGTTTTACAAATACAAAAAATCTGAGTGGTCAGCATGCCCAGAAATGCTACTGTAATCAGAAACAGCATAGCTGGTCTGGAGCATCTTTGTTCTATTGGGTTAGGCCTCTCAGGAGACCTCAGTACAGATCAAGGGGTGCTTGAGTGAACAAGGTTTGGGCAACAGGAAAAAAATGTATGGAAATTGGGACTGTTAAATACCGTCGAGTTAGTTCTGACCCATAGTGACCCTGTATAGGGTTTCCAAGGAGTGACTGGTGAGCTTGAACTGCCAACCTTGCAGATCAAACCCACAGCACTACACAAATGGGGTGGTGGCTAAAAAAAAAAACAGAATTTTATCAAAAAATTTTAAAAATCAGTAAGAAACTAAAACTAGCTTAACCCCTAACACCTGAAATGTTTTAGTTAACATCTTTTATATAATTCCTTCTGGGTTTTCCCTTGGTATTCGTATTTACTTAATTGAAGTCAGATTGTTTCTATGGTTTAACTTACTGGATTTCCATGAACACTTAATATTTCCCCATATCTTTAGAAATTATTTTTAAATCATCACTTTTTTGTTGGAGAATACCAGGTATTTCCTCTTGTTGAAAATGATTTTAGTATTTTGCATCACACAACAGCCGTCTTTCTGCATGCACGTGTTTCTTATGGCTCAGTAATTTCTTTAGGGAAGATTCTTAGCAGCGGTTGTTCTGTCAGAGCTATTTTCATTGGTGTTGTTGTTAAGTGCCATTGAGTTGGTTTCAACTCACAACAACCCTATATAGAGTTTCCAAGGGGTAGCCGGTGAGTTTGAACTCCCGACCCTGAAATTGAAACAGACCTTGCAGTCCAGTGCATTTCCTGCAGTGCCACACCAGGACTCTTTTGTAGTTATTATTAAGGTTTCTATGAATTGAGCTTGTGTTACTCTTTGAAATAACTGTGTATAAAATATATGCAATATGACTGCTAAGGATTGTCTATTTTATATACATAATCTTCCTCAGGCCTGTCACTCCTGTTTTATAGGTGAGGAACCTGACACTCAGAGGTTGAATAAACTACCCAAGGCCACCCAATCAGCAAGTGGCAGAACCCTTCAAGCTACGTATCTTCTCCAGTTCGTTAAGTTTTAAGAACTTCTCTTCTTCGCTCAAGGTTTATTTCTGTCTAAAAAACTAACAGCACCCAGGGGAGAAACAACATAAATAAATAAAATTATCTCTACTCTTCAGATCTCTAGATTCTCCCTCATTCTGTATCTAGAACTTTCTGTTCTCACCACATCCTCTCAATACCTTACAGTTTCTACAGTAACTCCTTGCCTTATATGAGACACATTCTAGAATGGTCTCTGTCTGACAAGTGAGCTCATCTATACGGTTCCTTCAGACCCCAGGGTCTTTGTGGGGATGTTTCCAGCTGGAACACATTCATCTGCTGTGCATGGGCTCAGGTGATAAGAACACCTGTCTACTCGATAGTTAGAGCAGATAAGATGGAGGGTGTGATGTGCTCTGTGAGATTGTCTGTTCCATTTCTCCCTGGTTTGACTTCATTTGTGTACCAGCTCTGACCTCGATGCACGCTATTTAAGAATACCAAAGCCATTTGCTCTTCATCTTCCCTTTTCTTCCATTTCAGTCCCTCACAGGACAACTGCTGAAGAAGAGAGTTGAATGGAAGTAGGAAGAGAGACCGGCTAGTCCTACCCACTTGCCTCCTTCCATCAAATGCCTGTTTCTATTACTCCATTTTTTGAAATGTAAACTAGATCTATGAACCTTTTTGCTTTTATTTACCCTAGAAATCTCAACCAAGTGCCAGAAATGGGACTCCCTGATACAAAGGTTGAGTCAAGGTGAAGAATGGAGTAGAATGTGAGGTTTGAAAGAGATGCCAAATGGGAAAAGGAAGAAGACTGAGCTCCTGACAGAGCACCTTAAAAATGCCTGGGAAAGTTTTCTTACAGTAGAATGCAACTAAATAAAGAAGGGAGATGCAACTAGAAAATCATCAGTGGAAGTCAAAGCCAGTAGATAAAAATTTGATGAGCAAAGGAATATTTACTTGATCTCGAAGTATCCCCCTATAGGATGTTTCACAATTACAAAGGGAAAAATATTAACTTCATAGTGGAGAAACCTGGCAGATACCACCTTAACCAAATGATTAAAATTAGTCTCACCAGTCTTAGGACAAACTGACACATGTACCCCTGATATCACGCACTGAGAAAGACATCACGTCTCTGCTACTTCTGGAAGACGTGCATATGCTGGATCTAATTGTGAGGAAACATTAGACTAGTCCAAATTGTGGGACATTCTACAAAAGAATTAGTGTGGAATCTTTGAAAATTTCAAGGTCAAATAAACCGAAGGCTGAGATTAATTGAGACTAAGGAGACATGGGAGTCCTGCTGTGGCGCTGTGGGTTACTGCTTTGGACAGCAAGGTCGGTTTAAATCTCAAGGTCGGCAGTTCAAGCTCACCAGCCGCTCCTCAGAAACCCTATACAGGGTCACTATGAGTGGAAACCAACTCAACGGCATTTATCAACAAAAACAAGGAGCCAAGGGAAGTCCTGGTATGGAGCTATAGGATAAGCAGTGAAGTGCTAACCACAGGTCTTCAGTTCAAACCCACCAGGGTCACCGAGTTGGGATCGACTCATTGGCATTTAACAACAATAACAAGGAGACGTGGATTCTGGTGTGGCACTCTAGGATTAGTGCTGGACTACTAGCCTCAAGGTCGGTGGTTCAAATCCACCAGCTGCTCCTTGGAAACCCTATACAGTGGTGCTATGAGTTGGAACCAACTTGACAGCACTTAACAACAACAATGAGACATGGCAAGTAAATGCAAAATGCGACCAGGTTTAAAAAAAAAACTATAAAGAACATTATTGGGACAGTTGACCAAATTTGAATATGGAATATTGATTAGATAATAGAATTGTTACATTTCCTACTTTTTAAAAACTGTATTAGCTTATTTGGACTCCTGGTGTGGCATTGAAGGATCAACACTGGACTGTGAACCACAAGTCATCAGTTCAAACCCATCAACTGCTCCTCGGAAACCCTATACAGGGTCACTATGAGTCAGAATCGACTCGACTACACTTAACAACAACAATTGAAAATATCATGACTTAGGTCAGGCACACCTTAGTCCTCAAAGTTACCCCTTTGTTTTTTAACACATTAAAGCAGTCTTTTGAAGGACATCATGTTTGATAAAGTAGAAGGCCAGCGAAAAATAGGAAGACCTTCAACAAGATGAACCGCCACCGTGTCTGCATCAAACATAACGGTGATTGTGAAGGGGGTGCACCCTTTCGTTCTGCTGTGCACAGGCTTACTCTGAGGTGGTACCCACCTGCTGGCTCTCACAACAATAATGAAGTCTTCCCCTAGATCTGTTCTATTGATTGATTTTTCTTATGACGGTCAATAGTTTTTTAAAGTATCAAAAAAAACAACAACAAAAAAAAAAAACAGCACATTTTCTCACTTAAACATAAAAATCTACCTTCTAGGCAGCAGTCCTGGTGTGCCACTGTGGGCTAATGCGTCAGGCTGCAAAGTTGTTTGAACTGCAAGGTTGGTGGTTCAAGCTCACCAGCTGCTCCTTGGAAATCCTATATAGGCTCGCTATGGGTCGGAATCGACTCGACAGCACTTCACAACAACAACAAAAAGGCAGGGACACTTGGCTGGGAATCAGTATCCTTGAAGCTATGACCATGGGCAGCAAGTCCATTCACTTTCTTTTTGCCTCCATTTTTTTTCATTGAATAACAAAAACAATCCACCTCTGTCACAGGAGGGTCAAGTGGTGGAGGAGAGAGCAGCTTTGGGAAGGCTAAAGCTAGTTCGGGCACTTCCATGAGGTTTTCTGTGACACTGAAGATGCAGATCCCACTTCCCTTCCTGGGGCAGGGACACTGAGAGGTTGTGAGGAGACAGCTTCCAGAGACTGACCCAGCCCAGAATGGTCAACCAGGGAAGTCCTCCACTCACCAAGAAGTAGAGTACTGAGGCTTTCTCCAGGTTAGGAGTCTAGGTCCAGCCCACCCTCTCAAATATTTTTTAAGTGAAATAGGTATTTGAGGTAAACCTATTGGTTTAAAAGATTTCAGAAGCACAGAACAGGATGGTCTGAAATAATAGAGGGGTGTTGATTTTTAAGTTCAATTTCCAGATATGCATGCTCAAAACATATTACCTTCATAGTTGTTGGTGCCATTGGAGAATTTAAAGAAACCCTATGGTTTGAATGGTTTTATGGAATCTTCCAGAACTAAAACAGCTGAGAACATTTGTAATGACTCCTTCTATCTCCCAGACAGGGCAGATGCCTCCTTCAGCATCTTGATGGAGAAAACCTGACCAGTTTAAACTAATTTGAACAACCTCCGATGGAAGGAAGCTCATAATCTGTTCCAAGATAGTTCATCCCACATTGGACAGCTCTTAACTCTGCATGTTTAGAGTGATAGGGTCCCAGTGGGAGTGAAGAAGCAGGTCCACCGGCTGCAGAAACCTCACCAAAAACACACAGAGAGGCTGTGGGTTTCTAGTCAGCCTACCATCAGCTATCAAAAGGAAGAAGAGGGAGAGTCTGGCAAAAGCTGAGAGACGGAGGGAGGGCAGGTGAGACTCAGATCACCTAAGGACAGATGGAACAGGGCAGGATGATGGGAAGAGAGAGGAGCTGAGAGGAAAAGTCACACAGAAAAGGCAAGAGAGTCAGAGAGAAAAGAGCGAGGGAAGGAGCAGGAAGAATGGGAAGCTGGTTGCTCCCACTGAAGGTACTCTGTGAGCCTGAGGGTGAGAAGTGAGTCAGGTGGGCTAACCATTGGTTCTCCCCTTCAAGTGACTTACCCCATTTTTTTTTTTTTTTTCTTCTCACACTTACAGAGTTTATTAGGGAAGTTAATGGGTTATAATTCAGGGTCAGAAATGGTCATTGTACAATTATCCCATTCAGGACAGAATTTGCTCAGCTGTGCCCACAGACAAACCTCTCTCTCTTGGCCTGGCTTCTGCCCTGCTGCAGCAATATTACAAAGCTCTTTTAGGGCTGCTGATAAATGCCCACAGGACAAACCACTCCATCATAAGCACCAGCCTGAAGGCACTTAGCTCTAGCTCTGGACTTCAGCAAACCTAGCTGCCCCAGTTAAATGCCTGGAGGCACCCTATTCTGCAAGCAGGCCTCCTGCCCAAAGTTACTCAGCTTTACTTGCCCTGGGGACTGAGAAACCCGCACTCTGTCTGTGCTCTGGTTCTTTGTTCTGCTGCAGTGGCTCCTCTACCATCCCTCTGGTGTCACATCTTTCTGTCCCTGGTTCAAGGAGGTTCAATGTGCAGGAATCTTGGGATCCCAAGGACACACTCCACTCCTGGCTCTTCTGTGGCCTTACCCCGTTCTTGTCAAAGGCTCGGAACATGCCCCCTACATACTGGATGGCCTCCTTATTGCCTGTGACTTTGAAAAAGCTCTTAAACTCATGCATGAAGAGTGAGCCTCTGGGACACTCCATCACAAACTTCTTATACACTCCTGGAGCTTGGCCACATCCATCTCACCAGCTGACTCCGCCTCCACCAAGCTGAACTGCTGCCCCCTACCGGCCCCACGAACACCAGGGAACAAGGGCTGTGTCTCCCCTGGGCCTCTGCAGAGTCTTTAGGCTATGGCCTTTCTTCCCCTTCCTTTGTTTAGCCAGTCTCTTGATCATCTCCTAGGCAACTGAACTTGATTAGCAGTGAAGGAGATAAGATGCAAGGGGGTGGGGGTGGCTAGGTCCAGACCAGCTAAGCTGCCCTAAGATCCTTAGAGGATTTTCCTTTCTCCTAGAAAGTCTGACCTCCAGCTGGCTAAGTGGCCCCAGTCCCACCTCTCCCCTGGGTCTTGCCAACCAAGCAACTAAACCAAACCAGCAGATTCTGAGGAGAGAGAAGGGGAGGAAGTTGAAAGGTAGATAAGCAGCAGGAAGCTAGAGTGAAAAGAGTAGGGAAGCCAGCTTGGGACCCTCCTATTTCACATTTTCTCAAAGTCCCGTGAGTCGGGCTCCACATAGCTCCAGAGAAGACCTTCTTGGAGACACAAGAGATTCCAAAGTCTTGAAAAGAATCTGTCTGTGACTTGGGTTCCCCATTCCCACATGGTCTAGGGAGAACAGGAGACTACGCAGGGCCTTAAGTGAACTGTATGCTCGCCATGTTATCTCACCTGCCACCACAGTACCTGAGCCCCACTAGACAGCATGTCTTTGAGTCATCTTTGAATTCTGTCATTTTTCAGTTTGAAGTATCAATACGTCCTCCGACACCCTTCACCCAAGATTCATACCTAAAGTCAAGGTTTTTTCTACTTTCCTTTCAAAATACTAACAGTGACAATGGTAAGGAAGCATGGCCTAAATGATCTTTGAAGACTCTTGACTTCTTTATGAAAAATTCACGAAACTTTTTTTTCAAATCAAAGTACATATTCATGTTTGTTTAAATATAAAATGATTTCTCCAAGAAATCAGAAGATCTGAAACACTGATTTTTGTCTAGAAGATGTTAGGACCAATCATCCCAGTGAGTCTAGTTAGTCTCAGAGGTGGCACTGCCCACTCCAACTGGACATTCATTCCTGAATATTTTGTACATTTCCAGAGTTGATCCCTTCCCTCATGGCTCTCTGTCACCTGTACAGTCCGCAGAGTTCCTTTAACTTTCATGCTCTTCTTGAAGTATGAAATCGGAAGCTCTGTTGTCCTTTTCAGTACTGGTGGATTTCTCTTCTACATACTCAGGATCTGGAGATTTGCTGTTGTTCAATGTGGTTCCGACTCAGAGCTACCTTACACACAACAGAACTAAACACTGCTGGTCCTGCATCGGCCTCACAATGGTGTTAAGCTTGACCCTATTGCTGCTGCCACTGTGCCAATCTATCGGGTCAGGAATCTTCCTCTTTTTTTCGCTGACCCTCCAGTTTACCAAGCATGATATCCTGATAATATGTTTGAAGTATGAGAGATAAAATCTCGCCATCCTGGCTTCGAAGGAGTATTCTGACTGAATTTCTTCCAACACAGATTTATATGTTCTTCTGGCGGTCCATGGTACCTTTGATATTCTTCTCCAACATTGTAACTCAAATGCCTCATTTTTCCCTTCTGTGGTCATTTCTGTTTTCTCCCTCAGACATGGCAGCCCCTTAGAAGTCATTCCAATTCAACATCCCCTGACACACACACACCCCTTGTTGTCATTTCCAGGTGACTTTACCACTTGGCTCAAATCATCATCTTAGTGACTGCAACATCCTAGTGGATAGATGACTCATCTTACACAAGAGTTGGGAAGCCAGCTTGGGACCCTCCTATTTCACATTTTATTAAAGTCCCCTGAGTTGGGCTCCACATAGCTCCAGAGAAGACCTTCTTGGAGACACAAAGATCCTTGATCTCTTTAGCTCCAAAGAGCTTTTCTTGTTCCTACCTTGGCTTCCCACTCACCTGTTGTCCCTAGACCAACAGCTGCAGCATCTGGGAACTAATTAGAAATGCAAGTTCTCAGGCATCCTTTCATGTCTCATCTTCTCATGATCCCACAGTCCCTGGGTGGTACAAACAGTTAACAGGTTTGGCTGTTAACTGAAAGGCTGAGGATTGTGTCTATCCAGAGGCTTCTTGGCCATCTACTTCCAAAAAATCAACAGTGAAAAACCTCGTGGAGCACAGTGCTGCTCTGACACGCATGGGGTTTCTCTGAGATGACATTGAATCAGTGGTAACTGGTTATGGTGGTGGGGCAGATGATTCCAGTGCACACAGAAGACAGAATCAGTACCCTAGACTTTGCCATCCTCAGTTTCTGTACCACCTCAGAAACATTCATGGGCTGCGTTCCTTCATCACCTCTTCTTTCAGCTCACTTTATTCTAAAACTTTCACCCCAATAATTCATCAACCTTAGTTAGACTTCCAATCTGGGGATTTAATAACGTCTTTAACCATCGTCACATGCCTCATATCCTCATTTTTCTCCTTATTCCATCATCTGCTATTCTTGCCATAACTTGGACTTCTGTCCTTTCTTTTACTCCATCTATTAATGTGACAAAACTTAACCCTTCTTAAAGGTATCCACTAACTATGTACTAACACCACACCTGCATCCAAGAGGCAGAACACTGCTGGAGAAATTCAGAAAAGCTGCTAGTTGTACAAACCTCTGATAATGCCAGGCAGTCCCACTATGTGTTGTCCTGCTAAGTCCCCTTTCCTGCTCTATGAGTTGACCACTCCAGTGTTTCCTCTCCTCAAAGCTTCTACTCAGTCCCACATTCAGTTGATGACACTTGTTTCTGAGAGAAATGGGTGCTTTAGCCAACTACCCAAATCTTCCCACCCCATGTGGTTCACTGCATGTGTCTGCGCCCACGTGCTCTGCCTCTCTTCCTGTATCCCTTTTCACTCCATCTGTCGGCCCCTCCACTCTTCCATGAAGCCCATCTCTCTTGCCTCTCAAGTTCACTTCCATGGCAATCCCCTTCCTCTCCTGAAGCTTCTCTCTTTCCCCTCCTACTGGATCTTGACCCTCAGCATTCAGAAATGCTTTAATAGCGCTCTTTTCTTTATTGGGATAGAAGTACATTTAACGAGTACTTGCCATTTCAACATTTTTTGTGTGTACAATTCAGTGACATTCATTCCATTCATCACCACTCTTCAGTTTGCAAATTTCCCAGCAGCCCTAACAGAAACTCAGTGTCCCTAACTCATGACTCTCCCTCTCTCCCTCCCTCCCACCCCTGGTTTTCACGGGTCTGTATACATTTGCCTATTCTAGATATTTCATCTAAGTGACATTATACAATATTTGTCCCTTTGTGACTGATTTAGTTCACTCAGCACAATGTTTTTAAGGTTCCTCCATGTTGTAGTATATATCAGAAATGATCACCCTTATTAACACAAAACAACAACCTTTCCTTGAGCCCATACCATATCCAGGGCCACAGTGTGACTTTCTTAGGGGCTATGCACTTTTGTCTTTTTGGTGCCTTTCCTCCATAATTAAATATTAAAAATCATGTTTTTAATAGTTAATCATTGCTATAAAACAAATATAATCCAGGTTAATTTTTGTTCTGATTTTTAAAATATTGTATATAGAAGACAGGAAATCCACAAAGACAGAAGCAGACTGGCAGTTGCCAAGGGCTGGCAGGTGAAGAGAATATGAAGTGAATGCGCTTCATTGATACAGGGTTGTTTCCTTTGGGGTAATGATGAAAATGTTTTGGTTCTAGACAGAAGTGATGAAGATTTAACGTTGTGAATGCACTATATGCCACTGAATTGTTAATTTTATGCTATTTGATTTTTTTTTTTTAAAGGTGATATGGTTTACACCTGACTTTTTCTGCTTGCCTCTGGAGCCCAGCCGCCATGTGGAGAGGAAACCCAGCCACATGCATGGATGGGTTCCAGCTGACAGCTCAGCTAAGGTCTCAGTTGACAGCCACATGACTGAGCCTTCAGATGACCCCAGTCTGTCTTTGAGTCAACCCAGCTGGTACTTAACAAACAGTCCTGGCTGAGCCCAGACTGCAGTGTGTAAAATAAATATTGTCACTACTTTTTAAGTTACTATGTTTTAAGCAAGGGACCCTGTAGCTGTAAAACAAAAAGTTGGCAGGTTGAACCCATCAGTGGCTCTGTGGGAGAGATACGGCGGTTTGATTGTGTGAAGATTTACAGCCTTGGAGATTCCATCAAACAGTTCTACTCTCTCGTAGGGTTGCTGTGTGTTGGAACCCATTACGGCAATGAGGACATTTTAGGTGTTTTTTAACATCCTGATGTGGTGGTGTGGAATAATGCACTGGACCGCAAGATTGGTCTGAGCTGCAATGTCAGTGGTTCAAATTCACTAGCTGCTCCTTAGAAACCCTATATAGGGTCACTATGAGTTGGAATTGATTCAATGGCACTTCACAACAGCAGCAATATCTAACTGGGGTCCCTTTGTGGTATAAATAGTCCACATGCTTGGTTGCTGACTGAAGGGGTGGAGGCTCAACTCAGAGGCACCTCAGGTTTGCCAATCTACTTCTGAAAATCAGCCTATGAAACAGATCTACTGGGGACACATGGGGTCCCATGAGTCAGAGTCAATTTGATGGCAACTGGTTTAGAAAACTCACCTTGACCTGAGTGTCTGGGTTAGCCGATATTTGATGTTATTCGATACTAGGATTTTAGAATTAGAAGATGCCCTGGAAATCATCTAGCCCAAGGATTTTTCACCTTTTCCCCATCTCCACACACCTGAAAACACCAGCCCACCAGCAACTGTGGCTATGTGACAGCAGTCATTTCTGCTGGCTTGATATGAAGGTGGTGGCCTCCATGTTTGTCTCCTAAGATTTACTGATATTTAAGCAACTTTGGGGCATGATTATACTCAAATGAATAAACTATCCTAGGAAACCCTATACAGGGTCTCTACGAGTTGGAACTAACTTGACGGCACTTAACAGCATGAATGAAATACTTGATTTAGCCACTGGCTGAGCACTCTGGAATTTGGTTGGCCTTTCTAGCAGATCAGTTGCCCATGACAAGCCTTTATAAATACGGCTGAGCTAGGTGTCCTGGTGTGGCACTGTGGGCTAATGCATTAGACTGCAAAGTCATTTGAACTTCAAGGTCGGTGGTTCAAGCTCACCAGCTTCTCCTTGGAAACCCTATACAGTGTAGCTATGGGTCAGAAACGACTTGACGGCACTTAACAACAAAATTGAGGTATAAATGTATCTTTTTAATGAGGATTAAGGAGTCCATAAGAGAGAATGAAAGCTCACCATGATTAATAATAAGGGTTTGAAGAGGGCAGGGCTAGGAATTGAGCTGGGACTTGCAAGGAGAACCCTTGCGGTAGAGGTGGGGTGACCCAGGCAGTCAGCCAGAAAACTGACTCCAGGAGTAAAATGCTTGAGGTAGTCTGAGACAAACCAATTCCTACTGAGTCATGGACAGGCCAGGCCAGAATCTCTATTGTAAATCACCTACAAGCCATTGTTCTTGTGACCCAGTAGGACCTGGCTTGCTGAAGCCTAAACTTCTGTGATGACAAGAGTCAGCCAATGGGATGATTCTGCTACTTGCTAGGTCCTTTGATATTCTTCCCTTGAAAATCTCTGTACTTCTAAGCTTCAAGAAAGCCGAGTATCACTCTCTAAAATACTGTCCAATATTATCATGATCCACATGGTTGAAAGCCACTGAATAGTCAATAAAGCACAGGTAAAAAAAAGAAAAAAGAAAAAGAAAGCCGAGAGTATACTTTACTAATGTTAAAAGGAGAAATGAATCTGGAATATAGGCTTGACTACTCAGCATTTAATATGCGCTATGTGGATGTTTGAGTTCCTCATTGTTGTTACATACTGTTGAGTTGATTCCATACAAGGTTTCCAAGGAGTGGCTGGTGTGTTTGAACCACCAATCTTGCAGTTAGTAGGCCAATGCTTATCCTACAGTGCCATGCCAGGATTCCTTGAGCATCCTACAGCCCCCCACCTCCCTGGTATTTTTTAAGAGCATTTACCTCTATTCACTTAAAAAATGTTGTCTCCCTCCCATCCCACCTGCCTTGTAACCATCATAGAATGTTTCATTTAGCAAGAAATTCTTAGCTTTTTACAACAGTGGTCTTATGCAATATTTGTCCTTTTGTGATTAATTTCACTCAGGAGTCCAAAGGTTGGTTTGAGCCACAAGGTCAGTGGTTCAACAGCTCCATGGAAACCCTATACAGAGTTGCTAAGTCAGAACCAACTCGATGGCACATAACAATTTCACTCAGCATAATGTCCTCCAGGTTAATCCATGTTGTGAGGTGTTCTGCAGATTCTTCGTTATTCCTCACCATTGTATAAAATTCCACTGTGTATGTATTAAAGTCTAACCAGTCTTCTGTTGATGGGCATTTAGGCTCTTGTCTTTTGGCTGGTGTGAATAGTTCTGCAGTGAACATGGGTGTGCACACATCTAGTTGTGTCTCAGCTCTGAGTTCCTGAGGATACTTACCAACAAGAGGGATTGCTGGGTCATATTGTATTTCTACTTTCAACTTCTTGAGAAAGTGCCATCCCATTTTCCACAGTGGTTGCACCATCTTACAGTCCTGTCAGCAGTGTAGGACGGTCCCAGTCTCTCCAGCATTTGTTGTTGTTTTTGTGTGTGTGTGACTTTGCTTTTAATGCTGGAATAAGATGTCTCACTGTTGTTTTGATTTGTGTATCTCCAGTGGCTAATGATCCTGAGCATTTTTTCATGTTTGTTGACTGCCCAACTGTCACCTTTGGTGAAGTGTCTGTTCATAGCCCCTTTTAAAAATTAGAGTAGTGTATGTGTTACGGATCGGGCTATAAGCCGCAAGGTCAGCAGTTTGAAACTACCAGCTGTTCCGCGGGAGAAAGATGAGGCTTTCTGCTCCCGTAAAGATTTACAGCCTCGGAAATCCTGTCCAGGGTCGCTATGAGTCGGAACCGACTCCATGGCACATAACAACAACAATAGCTGTCTCTGTCACTAACATGAATGTTGGAAAATTATTTTTTATTGCCTCAGACTCATCTGTAAACTAAAAGGGTGGTTGAGTAGACAAGTCATAACTCTTGAAGCCTTGGTCTTCCCTTCTGTAAAATGGGGATAATATTTCATCGGATTGTTTATGAAGATTAAATATCTGTAAATGAGACTATGTAAAATGCTTAGCATCATGGACAGTTAATGTATGTATGGCTACTGTAATAGGCACATTACATGTTTTATTTAAGTTAAACTTCACAACTATATTTCACCTTGTAGATAAAGCCCTTTCCAGCTGGTTTTAAAACAATACAGCACTTAAATGTCTGAGCGCTTCATGAATTATCTACTTTAAAACTCCCACTTTCACTAAGTAAGAACCTTTCCCACATTTTACTGAGTAATCTGAGGTCCTGACTGCCGGGAGCCAGCCCCAGCACACTTATTCCAGGGTTTT